ATGAGCAGCAAGGAGGGAGATCCCATAATGGTATCCCTCCCACAGGTGAGTGCTTGGCTTCAGCAAGGAGAGGAACTGGGGGATGTGCTACCTCCCAGATCACCCTCCTGCTCTCCACAGCTCTTTGTGCTCTTGGGTTATGCCCTTATACATCTGCACTACCCAGCATCTACTAGTGATGAATTTTGTTCCCATTTTATTACCTACTGCTCCACATCAGCCACATTTTCTGCAGCTTTTCACACTGGCTCTGTATTTCCCTCTCCTGAACAGCTCAGCATGAATGGCAGGTTCTGCCATGTCACCATTATATACTATTTTCCAGTTAATGGTTTTCATTGCAGCACCATAGGGCCTGTCAGGTCAGCTAAGCATCCTTTACCTGGCCAGTTCTCCATGCCCCCATTCCACAGCTGAGGGGCCCAATCTCACATGCCTGTTCATTTTTTCCCCTACTGCTGCTGGTGTTTTCAAGCATTCTGTATAAAACCTCCCTCGCCCTTGAACTCAGCGGATTATGCTGGAAGGAGACGTCTTTGCTGTGTTCCCAAGGTAGCCAGAGAAGTCCTCCAGCATAGAAAAGAAATGACTTTGAAAGGAAAAAGCATGCAGGAAAAAAGATGCACCTTTTTTTTGCTGACACATTACCTAGAGCCCCGTGTGCCACAGGGCATCCACAAGTGATTTATTCCCTAAAATGATACTGTCCTGAGGACCTGAGAGTGTCCATTTATCCGGACCAGCTCTAAGGAGGGGATGTGTTGTGACAAAGGCCACAAACATTTCAACAGCTGCAAAATGCTCTAAGAGAGAGAAGTTTGTAGGTGATAAATGGACACAGTTCATGCAGCGCTTTCTGAGAACAGGGCTCTACTGGCAGCCTGTGGCTTGCACAGCATTAGGATTGTCCTCAGCAGAGTCACAAATTGCTGCTAAGCGATGGCTGACCAGGAGCAGGAGGAGAACCTGGCACTGGAGCTGTGCTGGTGAAGACTGACACCAGGACAAACACCCTGCCAGGGCTGCACAGCACCAAATCCATCAGGAATGAGCCAGGACAAAGAGCTTGAAGGTGCCCATCTGTTCCAAGGGGAGTTGGAACCCCAGGGCATGGTTTTCTAACTGCCACATCTGCTCCAGGAAAAACATACCTGGCTCCCAGGAACACCCCACAAACTGCTGAGCATCCCCTCATTGGTGGGCAGTGTCAAAGCCTCTTGCAGGTCCAGGCCTGTGGTTCATTCTGGTAGCTCCAGACTCTGCTTTCTTACAGTTTTTTCTTCAGGTAGTCAAATTGTCTAAATTAACACTGAGACTTTTGGTACAATACAGCTAATGCCCACGAAATACCTCAGGAGGTAATTTGCTCCAAGTGCTTCCCTTGTTAGCAGCTGATTAGTGAATAAATAATTTCCAGAGAAGAACTGGACAAAGCAAAACCTGCTGGCAATGAAAAGGCTACAGGACCGGGCAGCAATTTCTTTGCAATTAGTAATTAGATCTGCAGAGGCTCATGATGGTCAGAGACAGAGCTGCTGAAAACCTGGCTGAAATATCTACAGGTGCTGGGGAATGCAGAGCCTTCCATGGCCCTGCAAAGCTTTTGAGGAAATGCTCACAAAACATTGCAGCAACCTAATAAAATCTATTAAAAGGAAAAGCAGGCAGTTGCCGACCCAGGCTTACTGCTCTTTTTATTTTTTCCCCTTTTTCTGTGTCTCTCAGGACAGACTTCATGCTGCTCATGGCTCTGTTGAAGGCAGAGGGGTGGTTCTGGCGCCTGCCTGCTCTGCTGCTGCCAGGCATTTCTCAGCAAAGGCAAAATAAATAGGCTGGCTTTTTAATTTTTTGGTTTGTAAAGTCAGGAACTCCATCTTAGCGCTGAAGCCTGTTGTTAGGCTTTGTGTTATTCTTGGCACTCTGACCGAAGCACGCTCAGTATGAATAGCAGAGCTGAAAAGTAAATATTGTATCCTTTGGGATCTGTGGAGAGAGAGGGCGGTGATACTGCTTAATGGAGCACCCCAGTGCCTGTTTGGGTTAGGCTCACAATAATTGCTCCCTAGGTGAGTTTATACCAACAATTGATTATTTCAAATGGGAAAGAAGTACAAATGAGTAAGAGAATAAACACTGATAGTATTATGAAATGCAGGAGAGGAGAGAAAAAATCTTATGCAGCTCCAGCACAGGGCTGGAAGCAAAGCTGGTCAGAAAATCATGAATACTGTACGTGGAATTTTTCATGAATACTGAATGACATAAGAAACTGAATTTTCCCCTTAAACTGCAGAACTATTTTCCACAGCCTGATCATCTACAAAGGAGACCCCTTTTGTTCTCCCATCCCCTTTTCCACCCTGGAAAAACATGGGGCTCTTGACATGAGCAGCACTTTGCTGTGAGCCAGCTGGTGAGAAGACAAGGAGCAGGAATCCTTGACGGAGGAGCTCTGGACTGAGTAACCTTAGGATAAAGCCCACCATGTCCTTGCAGAGCCCCTGGCTGGGCCCACTGCAGCTCTCCCATGGCTGTGATGTGCCCCATCCCTTGGCCCCAGGCTGCCCTGGTGGGCCTGGTCTCCCGCTCCCCACAGCTGTGTCCCCCCCATTGCTGTGCCACAGCAGCATGCCCCACTTGCCACTCACCAAGGGCTGCCTTTAGCCTGCTGCATCTCCAGAGGGTCTCCAACAAACCCATAACCAGGCTCAGGAGTCTGCAGATGTCCTTTGCTAGGCAGGGGACCAGCGCTGGCCCAAGGACACTGTGCCAGCCCTCCCAAGACCAGGAGCTGCCTGTCAGTCCCAGTGCTGCTGCCGCAGGGTCACCACAGGGAATCCCCAGTGCCCAGGGGCAAACTGGTGCTGTTTAATGGTTTCTGGGCATCTTTCACCATGATTGTGCTGGCAGCTGTTAAGTGGTGGCTGTCCTGGCCTTGGGCCAGCATCACAGGACCAGGAGGGGATGCTCAGATCTGAACTTGTGTGCCTGGAGCAACACCTGGCTGAGGATGGGCTACAGCAGGAGGGTGCAGGAGGGCAAAGAAGGGTTGAGAAGGAGGGTCCCCATTCTTCCAGGAATTTAAGGAAATGCACGCTGACTGGACACATAGTGCAGGAACTGCCTGTGGGGGTGAGGGCTCCTGGGCAGGCGGTGCCCTCAGGGTCGGTGCCTTCAGGGTCGCTGCCACTCCGGCCTAGCACAGCAAGCTCTGCTAGGCCTCAAAGCAGACCCTGTGGCCTCACCCTTGGGAAAGGCTGGGCCGCCAGCCCCACGAGTCAGCCCCGGGCTGCCACGGCGCTCTCTGCAGCTGAGCTCATTAGTGCCTACAATCAGCAGGGCATGAAGGGGAGATAATTACACAGGGAGCATGGCTCGGGCTACGTGCGGGGTCTATAAATAGGACGGTGCGGCCCGCGGTGCTCAGTCACGGCCCCGGGACGGCGCGGGTCGGGATGGGGCCGGCACGGCTGTGTGGGGGCTGTGCCACCGCGCTCTCTGTGGTGCCTGGGGAAACCAATAAGGTCAATTAAATGTTTCATTTAACTATGCTTTTCCTAGCTGAAAAAAAAAATAAAAATAAAATGCAGTGAGTTTCCCAGTGGACTGATTTTGAACAACAACAACAAAAGTCATTTATTTTTGGAACAATACCTAAGCAAAAAGTTTCAGCCTGGGGCCACAGTGGCACATGTAGGTGTTCCCCCCACATAGACTGTGTGACTCCACAGAGAGGGAGAAGTGCTCCCAACGCTATGGAGAGCATCCCCTGGCTGCAAGCAGAGGGTGAACAATGCCCGGCCCAGCTCCAGGGGTGGCTGTGGGGCAGCGAGGGCACCTGGCCCCACACAGCCCCGTCTCCCAAGTTATCACCCTGCAGCACCCATCATGGTGCTTTTGGGCCAGCCCTGACACCCACAGCCACCCCAGAGCTGCTCAGTCCCCAGTAAAAGCCACGTTTGCTCATCACCCCTCCTCAGTGCTGGTGACACAAGCAGCCTGGCCTGTATTTCCAGCATGGCCATTTCCAAACTGATGGCAAGGTCCTGCCCTGGCATGTGAAGGAAGCCCCATGTGTCACTGGTGCCACCAGTGTGTCCCGATGATGATACTGCTGCTGGTATGCACCAGTAACCCTCCTCATCTTTCAGGGTGCATCATCACAGTGCATCACCTGCCCCAAATCCTGCCCCACTGCAGCCTCCAGCAAGGCTGGCTGCCTTGCCTTGTACAGTGAGGTTGGATCACCTTGTTTTTTGGTGAAAATGTGAGTCTAACACAGCAGGGTACCACATCTTTCCTTCACCTTTAACCACCTCTTTGCTGTTCCTTCCCTGGGGATGAGAAAATACTTGAAGAGAAGGTTTTGTGCTATCTGGAAATAGATTGGTTCAGCACATCAGAAAGGGCAGGGCTCAGCATGCAGCCCATACCACAGCCTGTTGTCTCTGCACATCAGTTTGAGGGAGGAGAGCCTCTTCCCCAGTAAATTCATTCACAGGCATGGGGGAAGGAGCCCAGGACACTCCTGCCACATACATGGTGTGTTCTGTTATCAGGCTAAGCCACAATCAGGTCCCCACCCCTCTCTCTTGCACGTGCACATCACACAGATGCACACACAGGGTGTAAAACAGGCTGGGCTGGAGGTGGTTAATGAGCCGTGCACATCCCTGACACAGACCTGTGTGGGAGCTCACCCGCCAGCTGGGCTCACCGAGGCAGCGTTTATTCACGGAATAGCGTGCTCAGCCTGCAGCTCACTCATTCACAGCACAGGCAGCTCCCAGATCCTTCCAAACCAACCCTCGCTAGGGTGGTGATCTTTAAAAATCCAGCTCGTTTATTTGTATCACTCACATGGGACAGATGTGGAATAAGCTATGTGGGGCACCACACTCAACTGCCCAGCAGATACACATCAGCTACTTTTGTGATAAGAGCAGGAAACCTCCTACTGCACAGGGCTTCAGTTGTGCCACAGAAAAAACAGCTGAACGTGTCTGACATCTGATGCTTTATTCTCGTATGAAAGGTTAAAGGCAAAGCTAGAAAAATGAATCTATTGCTACACACTCACTGAACACTTCTAGAACAACATAGGGCAGTAAAGCTTTTATTGCTAAGAAGAACTGACGGAAGGCTTTAAAGCTTATCTAGAATTCAATTTTTGTTTGTAAGTAACCAAATTTAAAGCAGCTTTTCAGTCTTTAAAGCCCTCTTGCCTTCCTGGAATGCTTCAAAAGGAAGATGACCTGAGGACAGTGTCTGCTCTCCAGAGGGACCAGACCAATTCTCTGCATGAGGTGCAGAAATGGGCCACCCAAGAATGACAAATGAAACCCAACTGCCTGCTGGGGACTCCTGCAGACCATCAGACAAGGCAAAGCTGCACCCAGGGAGCTGGACCCCGCCTAGTGCAAAAGCAGTGGTCTCTGATGGCCCCTCAGCTGTCCACATGCCCCAGCAGCTGAGGCACAGATGGGCACCATGGACTTTGCCAAGCAGAGCCCTAGATATGGTGGCTGTGGATGTCCTGATCCAACAACTGAACTGCCCTTCCTCTTGGAGGGTGAAGCTACAGGCATGGGATACTGAATGCTCTTGGATCTGGATTATGCTGGATCAGAGCTGGTCACCCTTCCTGAAGGACTGTTAGTGCAGCCACTATTTTGGAGGTCTTGCTGCAGTCAGAGCTGCCCCTGGGGGCAGTGAGCGCCTTAGTCTTCAGGGATTTGGGAGTTGCAGTTCCCATGGTAAATTCTGACCTCCCCCTCACACTGGAAGTACTGGTCAAACACATCGCTGTATCCATGGTCCCTCCACCATGTGCAAAGCTGCCGGTTCCACGTGCAGTCAAGCACATGGAAAAGCTCTGGATGCTCCATCCCCACCATAGTGAAGAAATCCTGGTCCCCAAGGTGGCCCTTGAAGTGGTACTTTTCTGTCAGCTTCTGCACCATGGTGGGCTCCAGCAGCTGGTTGTAGAGCTTGGATTGCCTCATGGCTTCCAGGTTCAGGAGCAGGACACCACTGTTGAAGCCTGGTAGCCCATCAGGAGGGGGCTCCCCAACTTTGGTTTGGGGGTTCTCATGGCGATACTGCCAGAAAGTGTGCCTGGAAGGAGAGGAAGAACAAGCACAGGGATGTTAGTGAGTGCAGCCTGAAGAGCAGCCACCTCAAGTCTGGGCAGGTCTGGATCACATCACAGGATCTACCACCCACCCAAGGGATCTCACCATGCTTGTCTTCTGTCTGGAGGCACCCAGCCTCTCAGAACAGCCAGCGCTTCACAGGCTGCCTCTCTTTCCATCCCCCTGCACAGGATATTGCCCAGACTTCAAAACACACTGCTTACCATCTCCTAAATCCCCTTTTGTTTCTACCAGCATCATTCTGGTGAGCCAAGTGGACACAGGATCATGTGACTGCTCACAAGGCTGTTCAGAGAGACAAAACCACATCCCCAGTGCCTTGGGTGAACCATCAGAAGTGTCCTAATTTCAATTACCTAAGCAAGCAGCCCAGCAATTTCTTTGGCTCCTTTCTCAGTCCTGCATCAGAGAATACACCTTACCATACATACACTGGCTACTCCCACTTGCAGGAATTGAATTTATCCCATGCAATTCCCCAAGAAGCTGGATCTGCCCCCCAGCGCTGCTCACATTCAATCTGAAAGTCTTCTTCCCTGAAACAGCATCATCTGCTGCAAAGCTGAGTACCTGAAAGCAGTCTGAGCCTGTTCTGACAGAGGAGGGCAGGAGGGACCCGTGACCCCCACTACCATCTCACAGCCCGGGGCTGCCAGGACTGCTCTCTTCTTCTAACCCTCACACTTAAGGTAAAGTTACAGAAAGGGCTTTTTACACCTTGAAGAAGTCAAGGAGAAACACTGTTAGAGAGCATAAGCCAAGCCTGCCACTGGTTCCTCTTCAAACCTGTCAGATGTCATCCAAGTCTCCATGCAGCTCAAGGCGATGAGAACTTGTTGGTAGATTTAGTGACCAAATGTTTAAAGTGGACCCATGCTTGGAAGCTGGACTCCCTCAGATGTAAGAAGATGCAGGGACATTTGCCCCTGGGACAGCTCCAGAGGCAATGCTCTCCACTGCAAGCATTTAAATTTAAATTTTTCTTCTAAGAAGCCATGTTGAGCTCCCATAGACACTTGCCCAGTGACTCCTACAGCTTGTACAGAGATCAGACTATCAAATTCATCCTTCTGGCCTGTGCTCTGGATCCCCAGCACAGCGAGACTGGCCAAGGTGACAGCCAGGATTCAGCCACCAGGATAATTATCCCAGCAAAAAATGTGGATCTATTAATGATGTCAACTGTGACTATCTTTTATTTCCTGATCTGGAGAACCACTTTGCATCATGCAGCATCACTTCCTTAAAACTTTCCATTAAAGCATTGGTATTTCCCATTTCATTAAGGGTCTTTACACCACTCCCTTTCACCTGATTCAGAACCTAAAGGGTTTTTCTGAATGCCAGTTTTCCATGGAAGGAGGGCTCCGTCTTGAAGCAGTCATATCCATGTTTCCCAGAGAAGGGGAGTGGAGGATGGGCTGCCTCATCAGAGCTCATGGGCAGCAGTGCTCATTGGATCTAAAGGGTAGGAAAGGATAAAGTGTTCTGCCTCTGCAAAGAGCAGTTGTGTCTTGAGGACAGGCAAAGACAACTCGTGGATCGGTTGCTCCTTAGAAAAGGAAGGCAAAACATTCTCCATGCATCATTAGAGGGAAGCTCAGCCTGCAAAGACAAGCCACTGCCATGTACCAATTAGCCTCCTGAAGTGCTCAGATCCAGGAAGTGGCTCAAGCCCACCTCTGCATCCTCTGCTTCTCCCTAGCAGTGCCAAGAAAGCCATCCCCCTACCCAGAACGTTATGCTGGAAGCTGACAGCACAGAGAGGGTAAGCAGTGCCACAGAGAGAAACACATTTCCAGCTCCACAGCAGCGAAGCTGATTCCTTTCACATTCTTACCTCCAAACACATGCTGCCCAAGCTAAGGGACAAGATTACAGCCACTGAAAACAGCCAGGATAAAAGAAATTGTAAGCACACAGGCCCTCAGCATTGCCAGGCCATGGTGGGGCTAAAGCAAATCTGTATCACATGACTCAATTTTTCAGCAATGCCGTTCCCCGGATGACTTATGGACAGCTGATAACGTGCCCTTTTCTACAGGAAGAGGAGACAGACTGACAAGCAGCAATTGTTCAGCCCTTCCTCCCAGCGCAGGCCATGACAGGGCTGTCCTCCCCCGGCTGTGTGTGGGGTGTGGGGCTGGCAGGGAGGGTAGGGCCATCCCCTGGGAGCGTGCAGGTGGCTCTGCAGTGCCGATGGTCTGGGAACCTGCTCACAGCTGAGCACAGCAGCCTGGTCCCTGCTGGGCTCAGGCCAGCCAAGGGAAAGGTATCCTGGCAGGGCCACTGGCAGGATACCTTTCAGCATGTCTAAAAAATCAGCAGCTGTTTAGATAGGATTTTTCTTGGCTTTTGTCTCTCAAGTGGGTTTTGGTGCTGTTCTGTAGGGACCAGGACAGTGAAGAGCATGGCTGAAAGGCACCTCCACCCAGTTAGAAGTGGAAGGAGTGACGAATATGAGAGCATTGTTCTCTTCAGAGGAGATGGGGCTGGCAAAGCACATCAACCAGCCAAACAGCTGACACAGTCTCCACCCACTCCACTCTGTCCTGCCTGACATTGCCCCTCAGCACTCACCTCAAATTTTGGCAAAACATAAGGGGAAAACTCCAGGGGCTGGATGAGCGTGCTGTCAGGAGGTGCCCTGGAGACAATCATCGAGGAACTGAACCCCAACTGGATGCAATGGAAATGTCTCCCTGACTCTGGAGTGGCCAGAATCTTTCTGGGAACAGGCAGTTCAGGCAGGGCAGTGTGTCCTCCTCTCTGTGCCCCCAGCAGCAAAAGCCTGGGCAGGAAGGCAGCCCAGAGATGCTGGCACCACCAGGATGCATCGGGGCAGGAAGCTGTTAGCCAGGAGAAAGGGAGGAGAAAGGAAGAGGAGGCATTTGGGGCTTTTGTTAACTGCTCCAACTCATCTAGATAGGAGGGAACAGAGGTGACCTGTGGCCCCAGGCCCCATGCCATGGTGCAGGGAAGCCGTGTGGGGCTTGCCATGACCACCCGCCTGCAGCCCCAACAGGCTTTGCTTTGAGGAGCTGTTTATAAACAGAGCCGGCGTGTGCTAGGAAACATCTGGAGAAGAGCATTTCCAAGCATTCAAACACCAGGCCCAGGCAGCCCAGATAAAAAATGCTGCTTCCAGCAGGACTTCCCTTGCTGGCCCAGCACAGGGCGCTGCGGCTGCACCTCCCCTGCCTCGCAGCTTGGCAGTCACGAGCCCTAGCTCACAGAGCTGCCATCACACCCTTCCAAACGCCTCGCTGGGGACAGCTGCCAGGGCAGGAGGGACCACTCCACCCACCAGCTGTATTCTGCAGGGCCTTCTCTTGTTTTCATGTGCAGCATGGGACAAACAAGTGGGGGAAAGACTGTCCAAATCTGTGTACTTCCACGTATTTATTTCAGTTCTGGGTGATGGAACAACTTCATGGGATGAGCTGAAAACTTCTGGTAAAGCAACTGGGTGCCTGAGCTGGCAGGAAAGGAAAAATGCAAGGGTTACTGCCAGCTGGGAGACCAGCAGCAAGCTCAAAGCACTTGTCCCACAGTAGACTGGGCCTATACCCATCTGATGTTCAAGAGGCTGCAACCCTGCCACACCAGCTGTGCAGCTGCCTCTGGGCTTGCTGCTGAGGATGTGGACCTTCCCCATGTATCCACATCTCCAGGAATGCCTCCCCCCACAGGCATCTGGGGAATCAAGGAGACAGTTCAAAAAGACATGAAGTGAAATCAGACGCCAGGCCAAACCCAGGGTAGCTGTGGTTAGAAGATGCTCCTAGAAGGCTGCAGGGTGTAGCCAGTGTCCACTGCATGAGCCTATGCAGCATCATACCCAGCGAGGAAGGCTGCATGGCCTCTTCCTCACGAAAGGGGAAACAAAGCCAACAGTCATGGGATAGAGCCACAAAAATAGGGGATCTGCAAGAGTCTGGATGTAATAAGCATCCCAGAAACAGTCATCTCCTTACTGGAGCTCACTGATTTGCTCCTACCTCTTGCCAAGTGCTGCCAGAGTTTGGGCAGCTGTCTGGGAGAGCAGGATGGGCAGCAGCAGCAGGCCAGTACCTTGAGGACGCATTTTGTCAGCAAGCCTCTTTCACGGGGTTCAGGGGCTGGCGAACTTTGAGCCCCATCCAGCCAGGCATGAGGCTCCTGGAGCAGAAGGGAAGCACGGGCTGCCAGCCATCCCTCTCTGAGCTACTCTGACAGCAGCCCTGCCAGCCCAAACACCAACGAAAACAACAAGCACACGCTCTCCTACCTCCAAATATGTTGTTCAGTTCCTGAGCCAGAACATGGATGGCTGCCGGCGTTATCCCCAGCTGCAGGCACATGCCCAGCTGGCAAACACTACTGCTCCTGTGCAATGAGCAGTGAGGCAAGTGCACCTTGCTCCCTGCTCTGTGTGCTGCCAGGACTCCCTGGGGGGGCAGGAGGACACGCACCTGGCTGTGGTCCCACCAAACAATCCCTGGCTGAGCTGCCCACCTGGTGGTGCCTGGGACCTGCAGGGCCCCAGAAAGCTGGTCAAAGAGGCAGATGTGATATGGGAGCCCCAGTGTGAAGTATGCAGTGTCCTGATGGGGACAGGGGATGTGCTTGAAATGGGAGAGAGCAAAGGGGAGACCCAGATAGTAGCTTCTGAACTGCCTGGAGAAGAGGGTGTGGGCAGTGGGAGGAGAGAGTGATGGGAATGATGGCATGGTCCATTCAGGGGGTGATGGTGGCTTTTCCCCTTTATCCTTAGCACAAGGAAAGAGCACAGCCAAGAAACTTGCCTGCGCCCTTCTCCTCTTGGCTAATCCTCACTGTGGCAGGTAGCTGTCAGCCCCTTATCATGACTGTGAGGTTAACCCTCAGGAAAAGGCCAGCTCCCCTTCCTCTCTCTCTCCTCCCACCTCCAAAAGGCATTGCTGTAATGGAAGTGGGCCCTCTCAAGTTTCTGCCACATGA